TACAAGCGTCCATGTGCTGGTTCTTACAATAGAGGTGCCAGTTTTACAGGTTTACATATGCTGACATTTTTCTTACGGTAGCATAGCATATGGGGTTTTTTACATATACAGAAGGTACAAAAGCAGCATTGCCTCATTGTTTGTCATGCATGACAAACTTGGACTGCACTGGATCCACTAAACATCAAAGTACGATCTGCTAGATAGTTTCAAGGTACAATGCTATGTGTGGAAAATGTCACCGTAACGATTTCTCTGTACTTATTCATTACCTTTAATAAATCATCTGCACATTTTATATTTTATTATATTATATTACATTATATACTACAATATTGGCTATTACTTCCATGATCTACTTTTATGTGAAAAGCAAACTATTACAGCGCAGGCAGACAAATTAAAAATTGGCTCATCTACATAATAATGGAGGACTTCTTTGCTTGGGGACAGTACACAGCTTATATGGTGATTGTTGCCACTTCTCTGTTCCCAATAGACTTATTTGTCTTGAACAACATCCATAAAGGTTTATGTACACAGCTACCTCGGGGGATACAATTTCATACTGTTGTACCAAAAACAATTGTGTTTGTTCACCAACTATGCCAGGTTTATCCCACATGGTCAAGTTGTAACTAGTATCTATGGAGAACACACAACAGACATTTGGGTCTAAACTGTATTTATCTTCTTCACATAACTTCACACAAACGAATAAATAACAATAAATTAAAGAAGGACTGATCATAGGCCAGGTATCTCTGATGGCAAGCTAACAGTAAAGAGGGCTAAATTAAAGTTCAGGAGCAAGTATGTAATTATAATGGACAGAGAATATGGGATTCCATTAGTAACAATTAGTCAGAACAATTAGGTCCCAGCTGTGTAATATTAGCTACTTGGACTTGCCTAGTTCTGGCATAGAAGGACACTAGTGTCCATAAGTCGTAGAGCATTTTCTTTGATCAACTAACTAATAAAAGATCTGAATGCACAGCAAAATAAAGCCCTACTTACACTGTGGTAAGAGATTATTTTACATAAGTTTTGGTCACTACACATATTTATGTAGACATTATTATATAATTGTTACATTATGATACTATGTCAAGACCAATTATGTTATTTTCTCATCAATCTATATCAAGGAAAAAGTAATAACATTTTGATTTTGGGGTGATAGGTTAATATACTATCAATGCAGGCAATACAAATAGCATTACACCCAATCATGTTCATATGAGAAAAGGCTTAGCAGTATATCAAGAATATTCAGGTAGGACAGTGTAACACAGGTGGTCTAGTAATGCTTGAGAAGCCAACAGGAAGTAAGAGAATATGGGATGGACTATTCACACACCATCCCAGCAAGAGTGGATAGATGGAAGCCCAAACTTCATCAGATACTTAAAAAACGAGACTTTCGGCAGTAAAATAATGGGTCATTAGTATCTATTTGCAGGTAATCTCCATTCACTCTATAGTAAATAGAGCTCAACTGAAAAGAAACAGTTGCATGCAAGAAGCAAGAAAACATATCAGTGATAAGGGAGGCAAACCAGTTCTTATGATTTGTTAACATCTTTATGATTTGTTATGTTCATATCAGTCATGTGCATACTCAACGGTCGGTATATACCAGATGAGCTTTCAATGCTCAAGAGGTAGTGCTAGCCCATTTGTTTAGATTGAAGATTGAACTAATCGGAATTTTCTGGCCTGCAAGATCTACCCCAAAGCTGCTCCTCTGTTGCAAGGTTTACCTCCCCATACACTAAGATATTATGGCACAGCTGATCCATAGCTCACCACATTGTGAAACCATCTTTCCCCATATAAGAAAACTTTATACTAGGGCTGCGAAAATTAACGATTAATTACTTGATTAATCATTAAACATTTTTGATCGATTAAAATTATTTTGATCAGTAATGAAAACACTCACCTCTCCGCCGGCTTCCGGGTCTTCCGGGAGTCCTGTCGGAGATCCGGTGATGTCACGGACATCGACGTCACCGGACTCCTCCCCCATTCCCTTCTTTAGCCGACGTAGCCACTTGGGCCGGTGATGGATCGAAAGTTCGAACTTATCGAGTTCTGCGACCGCCTGACTTCCGGTTTCGTTACAACTAAGAGGTTTGTCCAAGAAACTTGTTCTGCACGAGTGCCAGCCAAGGCATTGCCCTATACACATACAGCACAGCAATTAAGTAATAAAATGAGCTAGGATCACAGTAATCCAGCACGTTATTAATATCATGTGCCCCACTCAAGCGGCGGCCATATTGAGTGGGGCACATGAGATTAATAACGTGCTGGATTACTGTGATCCTAGTTCATTTTATTAATTCATTGCTGTGGTGTCTGCTTCCAGAAAATGTAAACGCATGTCTGCGTGACTGGCTAACGTGATGCCTACTTGCATACTATAAAGTGACTGACAGTCAGTATACTGGATACGTTTTATAATTAAACTAACTCTCTACGTTTTTCTTAAAGTTTAATAAAAAATAACTTACGTCAGTGCTACAGTTTGAATTTAAAACGTATTAGTGTGAACTGTGAAGTAAAGTCATGGATTGTTGAAACTAACTAGTGTCGGGTGATTGTATATAGTTTATACCACATTTACCACTGACTAAAGCAGAGTTGCAATGCAAGCAGATCAGCTAAAAGTAGTTGGATCTGTATGTGCGTTAGAATTAATCGAAATTAATCGATTAAACAAAATTAGATTAACCCAACACGAAAATTTTAATCAGTACCAGCCCTGCTTTATACCCATCATTTATTGATAGGACAACATTCAAAAATTATTTTGTGGTAAGTTAAAAGTATCAAAGAAACTAGAATTTCTTGTGAACTAACCATTCACTGGTAGATTTTCGCACAAACGTTCATATAACACATATTGTCAGAACATTCCATAATGTCATCAGAGACTTGATGAATGTCATTAAAACTTTGGTTTGGTTTTCACATTCAATTTCGGAATGAATGGAGTTTCCCTATCAAAAACCACATTCACTGCTAGAATTTAGTTTGTTTCAGAAACATCTTACATCCTGCTCCGTCATTTTTTCATCAGTATGGTCTACAATGATTGTTGATTTGTCCCCATGAACTATTATGAAATTGCACAAACGTTCTGAAAACAAATTTCAAACAAAATTCTACTGGTGCATGGCCAGCTTTAGTGTTAAGTGTTTATGTTTTGTTAATTGGTAACTTAACTCTTAATTTACTCATATTAAGAGTTAAATTCTTTTTTAAGAGTTTATTTGAGTGTTAGGTGTTCAGGTAGCAGAAAGGATAAGTTTTAGAATTTCTTTCGTGTTGGGGACACTTTTGTAGGTGAGTAGCGTGTTGTGGAACTTTAAGCCACTATTAGTGGCAAGCTGTCAGCACTAAAAACTAAGATATTACAACTGATCAGAGTGAAGTCAATAAAATACTGTAGAATCATATTGCTTGGGCAATTGTGGGGCACAAAATAAACATTGCAGTCTCAAACCACAAACTTTTTCAAGAAACCTAACAAAGATTGGTATGATCATGAAATGCACAGCCAGCTGCTTTGACAATAGCTCTGCTTAGTAAACAGAACAATTGTCCTGGTATTAACGGAATGCTGTAACTATACCCTAAAGGCATAAACACCACAAGGATTGTATTACTTTTCTGCAGTGTGTATGTGTGTTTCTCGGTTACAAAGTGTATTTAGGAAGTGAAACAAGGTCGTCAGTAATGTGAAGGGACTACATGGTGTTAGTAAAGTGTTTGAGCAGGAGAAATCATTTTCAGTTTACTTTAATATAAGTACCTATAAATACCTTTTGCAGAACTGGCTCATTTGTACTTCAATGCACAGACTTAAGTAGACAATGCACAGAGCAATCGTAATATGGCTAATTCACAAAACTCTGAAAAAGGAAATAACGTACAAAATTGGAGTTGTTGACAAAAAGAGCCAATCAGGTTTCACATTTCCTTTTTTTGAAAGGATTTAACAGGAATTTTTATTTGATTGATCACTGCAGGCAACAACTACAATGTTGTGCATTTTTTTCTCTCCAGTTTTAAGAAGCTGGCCCCAAATGTGGCTCCAAAATCAAAGTCTTTTGCAGTTATCTGATTTCGCTAAAGGGGTTTTTGCACATTGTTGATGCTCTTTGCATTGTCATTTTAAGCAATCTGTACATCACGAATAGGTCTTAAAGCACAAGGTCCACTTTACAGATAGGCCCCCAAAAACACCTAGTGAACAAATGGAATAAAAAATTTAACTTTGTGAGAAAAAAGGTAAAATATACTTACCCAAATTCTGCTCACTTCCTGGGGTCACAAGTGACGTTGCTGTGCCTCACAACTATACCCCAGGAAACCGGGGTGCTCAAAATCCTTCGAGAATGTGCCCTGCAATGTGCTGGATCACATTTTCCCAGAAGTTATTGGGAAGAAAGTAGATGCCGAGCCACCTCACCCTTTCCAGCTGGCAAACGTAGTTCTATTTTAACAGATGTTGTTTACGCTGGACATACACCAGTAGAATTTCGTTTGCAAAAAAAACATTTTCGGAATGTTTGTTTGATTTTCTAATAGTTAATAGGGTCAAATTGTGATCATTTATGACTGTAGTGACAAAAAAATCATTGGAGCAGGATGGAAAATTTTTCTCAAACACTTGAAACTCTAACAGTGAAAGCGGCTTTTGTTTTGGAAACTCTATTAATTTCCAAAGTTGAATGTTAAAACCAAACAAAATTCCAAATGACATTCATCAAGTCTCTGATGGCATTATTGAATATTCTGACCAGATTTCTTTGTATGAACGTTCATAAGAAAATCTACCAGTGTATGGTCAGATTTAGTTAATTTCTCCTGCCACACCTCCTGCAGTGGGGTTATTAAACTTTACAATGTAATTCAATACAGGTAACAATATGTTGACATTACTTAAATACAGGTCAAATGTTAAAGGTTAAAAGAAAGAATACCTGACTCAGAGGGTCTACTGTCCTTCTCTTGTTTTCTCCAATGTGTAGGTAGCTAAAAAGCAAAAAGAATATATGTTTAATCAAGCGATGTTGACTATGTGCCTAAATACGACCGAAGATAGTAGTACAAAGATACAGATATAGCCCAGGGATTCAAAGAAAGTTTAAAAAGATACCTGCAATATCCCTCCTTATAAATAAAACCAAATACACATAAAATGCTTCCTACAATGTACTAATGTAGTAATTATTGAGTGTTAACTTCAAACATTCACAACATTCACATTCATTCTTGGGTTGTTTCTATCCCCCCAAAAAATATAAGTGAGTTGCAAAGGTTAATTCAACCACCGTGACTGGTTTAGAAAACCATCCTCAATAAAAGAAAAGGTTAATCTCACATGGAGTGAAAATTACGGCATTAGAAAATCAACCCGATATAACAAAATCATAAATGTGAAATCATTTTCTAGTAAACACATTATAAAGATAAGGCAGAAGACAGGAATCCCCAGCACTCAGTAATAACGTTCAATATGTCCATTTATTTGGACAAATCGTCACAATGATAAAAGCCAATGTTTCGGGGCCACACAGGGTCCCTTCATCAGGACTAGAAGATGTGAACCTGTGTGGCCCCGAAACGTTGGCTTTTTTCATTGTGACGATTTGTCCAAATAAATTGACATATTGAACGATATTACTGAGTGCTGGTGATTCCTGTCTTCTGCCTTGTGTCTGCATGGCGCCATCCATGGTCATCACTGTGAGCACCACTGTTGCATAGGCCGGGAGCGCTGTGGGGAGTGCGGAGTGACTTTCTATCTACCTACATTATAAAGATAACACATTTGTGCAATAAGGAGGAAAGATGCAAGTATTTTTAAACAAAGCCAAACTGTTACCTCTAAGGTTACTTCTTTCTCTATGCTAGTGCATTTTGTCTGAGGTTATGATTAAGGAGTGTTTTCATTATGGGAAAGATACTGCAGCAATGGCATTTTTGATGTAATAATGCTGAATATATGTGCCTGCTGGTACTAGATACTTAAATAAAACCTGCATTAAGAGAAATATAGGGGCTTGCATCGCTGACCACTTTCTAAAAATGGCCGTTATCTTTGTCTTTTGAGACACTCGCCTGGAACAAGTGTGCACATTGAGGGTGGATTCACACCATAGCATTGTGTTAATTACACGGAACCGTGCGATTACCGTATACTACCATGAAATGCACCTACCGTACGTTACAGTCTGGGAGGTGCGTTGCCATTCATTTGTATGGCACCCCAAGCGCACCTCCAGCCGCAATGCACCCGCCCACACCACAATCCACGGTATCGTAACACAGCACCACAGAACTTGTTTCTGGCTTCAATCCTGGGTGCCCCAGGTCTTTCATTATCCTAGTCATGCTGGCATTTCGGCACACTGTTTTACTTCTTAGCTGTAAAGCCAGGAAAATTACCCTTATGGGTGTTGTTAATGTTTACAAATGGATTATACTGTTTAACTACTGAATTTTATTGACCCTGGAAACAGAAGGGGGGAAAGTGGCCCAACTTGATCTTACACACAGGTCTGCTACATTCAGAAAATGCCCCTGGTACTACACTTGGTTTGAACACATACTTTGTAAATTACCACAGGATAAAAATGTATTATACAAATAAATAATAATGTAATCGCAACTAGGTTAACAGGAACACTTTATGGCAAACAAGATCTATTGTTATGTTTTCAGTTTGATATTTAAAAGAATAATGTAAGCTTGTCAATGGTCCCTTATACATAATCACTTATGAGGTTTTATTCTTTCTTCCTCCACAATGGAAATGTTAAAGAGCTGTAACAAATGTGGAAATGGGCTTTGGCTTTCATCTTTATAAGCGATAACTTAGGTTAAACCACATCAATATAAGGTAAAGCTTTTAATATACAACTATGAATACTTGATGAAGAAGTGCCTGGATAGTCTTGAAGCACACAGTGCAAATACTTCCTGTGACTGTGTGGACTGAACACTTTACTTTCTAGGGTCAATATTTGTTTAGCTATTCAGTAGCAAACATATTTACCTTAAACTTACCTTTACCTTAAAGTATTTGCCGTAAGGCACTTTAATTACATAGACCTACACATTCTTGGCTAAGAAAAAGTGTGTAAAGGAATTAAACACAAATGATATTGGTAAATTATATATAACATGATACTTGTTTACTTCTAATATACACAATCAAGCTCTTAAGATGTTATGTTCCTCTCATGCTGATGAACAGATCAGTCCATGCTGACTGAATGACCCATGATGGGGCCAGAAGAGAATGGACAAGACAAGAAAAAAGACCACAGTGTTTTGAGGAATGGCATTACCAGCCAGACGATTTTGTTTGTCATAAATACCCTGTTTGCAGGATCACTGGATCATGGAATGGTGTTCCCAGAATACTTGTATAGCAGCACTGCAATGACTGTCTGAATCAGAGTGGCCTGGTGTACTAAAGCAATGCCTGGACAAACAAATGCCCTGGGCTTGTGTATGAATGCACTGCGCCTTCAAAGACATTAGGGCCACAAACGTGATCTAAAGCGACCCTGTAAAAGAAGAGCCAGAGCGAGCACCTTTCTGGCAGCCTGTTGTGTTAAAACTCTGCTGCGTTAATATCCACAGTCACTGCAGCTAAAGGTTGAAGGTAAAATGTTCACAGGGTCGAAAAGTATGTTTAAATGGAGAACTAGAAATACCCATTCTGTTGAAAATGCCTATTTGTAGTGACATGGAAAGGTATCCCCCCCACAGATCCTGATATTTCTGAGGCAAAAACAAACCCAATGGGGGGGATTTATTAAAACTGGAACAGAGTCAGGAGCAGTTGCCCATGGCAACCAATCAGCTTCAATCTTCAGTTTCATCAGTTAAGCTTTGGAAATATGAGCTAGACCAGGGGTTGGCAACTCCAGCCCTCCAGCTGTTGTGGAACTACAAGTCCCATGAGGCTTTGCAAGACTGACAGTTACAGGCATGACTCCCAAAGGCCGAGGCATGTTGGGGTTTGTAGTTAAAGCACAGCTGAAGGGGCAAAGTTGCCCAACCCTGAGAGAGAAGCTGATTGGTTGCATTGGACAACTGCTCCAGCTTTTACAAATTCCCCTTAATGGATTTTAGCTGCTACTCCACCTCTCACGCTCAGTCTTCCATACACCTTATTTTTTTTCTTAAAAAGGCATAAACTGTTACTTTACTTTTGTTATCAGAGCATAACAAATATGGCCATGTTGTGTCTAAGGTTTTTTATTCAGTAGCTATCATAAAAAAGCATGACATTCATTTATAGTCATGCAGTAAAAAAAAGTATTATTTTTGGATTGGGTCAATGAGACATTTAGCTTACCAAACACTCTGTCTAGTATACTGTATTCGTAAACATTTTGATAGCTTTTCTTTTCTTGTTGAACAATAAATATCATCTGTGTTTTGTGCTGTTTCCCAACGTTCTAACACCAAAATAAAGCTCTGGTATTACTGGTGAATAAAAGAAAAAACATAACCACCCTTGTTATTTCCTGTTTTTTATAGAGTTATAGCTAAGCATTTTGTTTGACTTTTTTTAACATCAAAGTCATTTTCTGACCAAAGTGTAGGAATGTTTCTCTGGCATTTATTATTTTTGTTATCACAATTTTCAGACATTGCCTCACCATTAACCTCCCATGTTTATAAGTCATTGCTGTCATTCCTGTGAAGCAGCCAACCATTTAGAAAATGTTATCAATATCATCTAAAAAACAATGATGGCGGTGATTGTGCCCCTTCGTACCAAAATAAAAAAAATGGGGTAGGCAGTCAAATTAGAGGCAGCAGCAAGAAATTACCATAATTTAAATGTTTCAAAGAAAAATAACAACAGGTAGCCAAGCATACCAGCCAAGCAGATGGCTTGTTGACCTCAATGTCACAGCGAGATGATAATTCTGAGGCTCTTCAGCCAGCATACCATTCAGGCCCGGTGCAGACCTGAGCGCCCCGGGATCGTGCAGTCCTGCACAATGCAGGCAGCGATTGCCCCTTTGATCTCAATGGGGTGACATCCGCCTGGCAATCACAGCAAAAAGGTACATGTACCTTTTTTTTTGTGATACACGACGCGCGGCTGTTTTAGAATCGTGTTCGGATGCACAAGTGGAATTGCGGCGGGAAACCGTGCAATCCGCCCGGTGCGACTGGAGTGCCATTAAAAAATAATGGCACCTCCAACTATAAGAGAGTGGTGTAACAGAGTAGAATATTATAGACTGATGGAGGAACTGACGTCCATCTGGAGGGACACCTTTAAAAAATTTGAATCCACCTGGCAACCGTGGAATGAATTCACATGATCACCTGGATATCTACAGGATATTGGATAGAATAGTCACATACTAATATTACTCTTTATCCAATTAAAATGGTCATAGACGACTAGCTAGTAGATTCCTCTCACTAGGATAGAATACGAAGACTTAGAGTTTCTTTTTTCCTCGTAATACTAAGGCACTTTCATGGGACACTTGCCAGGTTTGCCAGATGTTCCCCATGTTGTTGTTTTTTTCTTTGTTTACTATGGTTGTAATTTTTTATTTATAAGGTACGTGAGCAAACAATCTCACTCTGCATGTATGCAATATGACATGATATAAAGGAAATGTTGCTGACGTTATTAATGTCTGACCTGGTCAGCCGTACCCTGATGTGTAACTACTGTATGTTAAACTTAACTTGCTTGGAAATAAATGTAAAAAAAATAAAATAATGGCACCCACAGCGCGACCATCTGTGCTGGGTGACTCCGTGACTGTGTGGCAATCTGCGCGGATCATGCTCAGGAGTCGCCTAGGTGTGCACCAGCCCTCACAAGTTTATTTTAAATTCAACTAATCTCTACCTGAGCTTCCTCTGTTGTGGCAGTCGTGATTTTAGGCTTTCTACAAACCTTTTGAAGATAAGGCTGAGCAGAAGAAGAAGTATGAAAATCCCCAACATTTCAAATGTTATGAGATGTTAGACTTTAAGGG